CCCCCATCCGGTGCATGGTACGCTCTTCCTATAAGTAGCCAGAATTCTATAGAAAAAAAAAATGCACAACTCAAAAAACAAGGTGAAAAAAAATAAATCAACGATCATTTTACAATCACAACAATTCAGCTCCTAGTAGTTAAAATTGTCGCCCATTGTTCTGCTAACTTTTCTCTTTGGTCTCAGCCTTCACTTGTCCATATTACTTGTGTCAACCTTCATTTCTTGATGAGAAGATGGTGGCTGCTGCTCTGCAGAAGGACCAGATTTAACAGGTTTCTTGAATTGCACCAAGATCATGGTCATGTTGTCGCACCCCTCACCACCATTAGTATCGGGAGCCAAACACCTGTGAAAAACTCTTCCGCATATTGCAGAAAGCTTAGTTTCCTGCATAGATTTGGACAGAAATATTGTAACCAGCATGTGTGCATATGTTCAAAATCTTAACTAAAGTTTACAGAACTTACAGTGTTTAACTGTTCACGCACATAGTCCACTAGCTGTTGACTTGACATGCAATCCCTATGGCATAAGTGGAATTAGCAAAAACAGCAAATTCCAAGATAAAACAAAATAGGGAGATCCAAATGACTCTCTTTCAGCTCTTCAGGAGTGATCAGTGGATGAAGAAGGAAAAAGGAAATAGAAACACAACCGAGTCAATGCACCACTCAGTTTCCAGTGTATATGTTGCTAAATGAATGTGCTTCCTCTAACCCTTATGTCAATGGCAAATATCATTCTCTATGCAGAGCTAACACAAAAGCATTGCTTTCAGGTTACATAGCATCTTGGAGTGAGTGAGTAGCATACAAATACCAGTGTGCTCTTTCAATAAAATTGGGTTATTTTAGCCAGGAAAAAGAGAAGGTGCACATATGCTTAAATAACAGCAGTCTTCACATCATCTTAAAATTATACCTTTGTATCTAAATCTCATTATTATTAAACCAAATTGTCTAATTTCGAACAAAATTTGACACTAAATCCACTGCCATTCCAAAAGATCTTTGAGTTGGAAATTGAAATTTTATTTAAGGTTCTCAATGTCCTTCTTATCTGAAATTGTGTCAACTAATGAGGGCAACTTTAAAAAGATACTTCCAAGTCACATTTCCTTGTTTTTGAGACTAGAATTCGCAGTATCATTTATATAAGTTCAAATAACATATCCATAGAGAATCTAAATTACATTTCATAAAGAAAGGAGAAATGGAGAAAATGCCGTTACCATACACATGCACTCTTTTAAGAACGAAAGAAACTCACTCACCAAATTCCGTCACAAGCAAGAACAAGAAACTCATCATCATCACAGAGCTCAACCTATTCATGTGCAATGAAAAATTATACAAGAAATCAATGAAAAAAATTGCATAATAGTAACATAAACCAATCTAATGTTTAGCCCATGTGACGTCTTCAACCACAAGTGCGTACTCTCAGAAAAAACAAGAAAGAAAAAACCAAGGAGAAGGAAGGTCGGCAGCAACACTACTCACAGTCCTTATGTCTGGATTAGCAGTTACAATTTGCTGCTCGGCAGGCAGTTTTTTGTTCTGCTTCAACTCTGCATCTCCTGCAACAAAGAAATTGACAGCATAAGAAGTAATTGGCATTGAACAGGTAAATTTCCCCTTTGAAGCCTCCTTTTCTTGAAATCATGAGTGGAAAAAAATTCATGTACCGATTGCCCTAGACAGGTTTAAAGTTCCGTTAACACGTCCAACTACAATAAAGCCACCGGCATTCACAATCCTTTCTCTCTCAGCCACAAGGTCAGGCTTGTGATCTTGAGACATATCATATGCCTGCAATAAAGGACTTGCATAAGACACTTCACGTGTAAAATCTTGCAAAAGTTATGCTAATCATTCATTATAGAAGCATAATTCCACAAAAAGACCCATTCACTTATTGTCTTGCCAAACGATACATGGACCTGGGTACAACATTAGGAGGTGGATAAATATCTAGGTTCATAAAGTTAAAATATAAGGACGTATCTGCTAATATTGTTTGGGTACAGATTTAAATTCATCAAGTCACTTGGGAAAAATAAAGTGCTACAGGGGAAAGCTACAGTTCCTGTTTGTGAGTGGATGGCAGCAGGGTTCATAGCTTTTTAGACAACTAACACTCTTCCTCACAACTAGTTTAAGGAAGAGGGTTGAAAACATCTTGGTCTTTCCCATTTAATAGCTGTACGAGGTGAGACTGTCACCACCAAGAGAAGGAAGCTTGACAATACAGATATTCCATGGCAACTTCATTCTTCTCCCATCAAGAGTTGACTATATAGTCAAGGGTGATGATGGTGCCATTCCATCAATTTATGGCACTTCATTAATAGCACCATCATTAACAGTTAGCCAAATGGATTGTGGTATTGACCGCTGTGGAGTGTTGTTATTAACTGATGGAATGCCATCACCACCACCGCTTAGTCAACTGCTTTGGATTTATAAGATAATTTCACACTTAAAGAGTTAAATCAGTGAAGTGCTACTTCTTGTGAATGGAACTACAGTAATCACAAATGACAAACCTGGTCATGACTGACAATGAAAGATCCATGACATGTTACAACTTGCAACTTGAAAAAACTTTGTTACATAACAAAAGAAGCCTTTAGAGAAACAAGGATTTCTAAAGAGTGAACCATCACAGACAGAAAACTGTCCTACTAGACAAAGATCATCAAATTAACAGTCACTGACTTGACACACATAAATTTCATCACATTAACATTCCTTCACTCTTCAAAGAAAAAACAACAAGAATCAAACTGCATGAATTTGTGCTTTTTTTTCTTTAAAGAAAGAGCCTTTCTTCAAATTATCCTCTCCCCCTTTTCAATTCCTTTTTCCAACTCATATTAGAAATCCAAAGTAGTTGGGTCCTGGAAGCTTTCTTTTATTAAGAAAAAAAAGAAGAAAAAACAGTGATGCCATTCAAAAGGGTGTTGAAACTGTTTTTTCCATTTTTGAGAGGATGAAAAGATACAAAGGTCCCTTTCAATAAGGTGAAAAGACAGGCTTTTTTTTTCCAAAAAGATGCAGTCAATGACAAAGAATTTTAAAAATCATACGTGTCCATAACTATATATAAAATACAAAATGTGTCCGGAACATTTTTATTCAACCAAAACACCCTTAAACCTCAAATAATGAAAGACCAAGTATATAAACCTTTTTAAACAGCAGATTACTTTGCTATGATGCAAATAATGCATTTGGCAAAATGAACAATAATCAATGCAATTATACATGATCAAAGATAAAATGACAAGAATTAACCCAACCCTGCAAGCACATGTTAGTTTCATCCAAGCTATGGAAATTTTAGCTCTCCTCTTCTTTTATCTGAGCAAATATATTCCTTTCTTCATGTGATCTCTCAATCACAATCACCAAGTCTTTCATAGATTCTATTCATGTATACGGGAGTGCACTTTTGTTTCCACGAGTAATACACACAGCCCATAACAGGGAAGAAGCATCAATGCATAATTTACTGAACACCAAGATCATTTCAATTCATGGATTGGAAATAAATAAGAAACCATCAATTCCTTTTACCAAATACCGAGGGAGAAAAAACAAGCTGAAAGCTTGTCAAAAAAGAGGAAATGGGAATACCTGACCCTTCCTGGATATAACACAACGAGAATCACCAGCATTTGCAACAAAAAGTTGGTTGTTTCGAATAATTGCAACACACGCAGTGCTTCCAGAAGTCGGTCCATGAAAGCTAGAATGAGGCCCCTGATATTTGCAAAATAAGATTTACTTTTCCTATGCGTATGTAATTAAAATGTCATTAACATACTATTCCAAAACTAGTAACATTAACAACAGCCAGTATGCAAGAGTTATTGTAAGTCATTTGATAATAGATATTTAAGGATAAGAATTTATATGATTAATGAAACAACATGAACACCTGTGCTAAATTTGGTTAATTATACAACTAAATTATCGAACTAGATTGTCATTCGAGAAGCAAATGTTCTATATCATACTAAAATCACAAGAGCAACTTTCCATATCAGAATGGCCAAAGAAAGAAAACCACCATAAAAAACAAAGAAAAGGCTAGTTTAATTTGGAATAAATCGCCAATGAGCTCTTGGCTCAATCAGCACTCATTTCCCCCCTTCTCCCCAGGGGTCTCAGGCTTGAGTATTTCTTTTGTAGGAAAAGAAAATTTGAATAAGCTAAAGACAACAAGAAGAAACTGCACTAAGCAGTTTAGAACGCTCAGTTGTCTTAAGACTCTAAGCCTTCAACTCCATAAAAACTATGAAACTCATGCCTAAATAAGCTCTCTGAACCAAAATGTGAGCTAAAACTCCCCAAAACAAATATCCTTCCAACAGGAATCAGGAAATTCCCAAACAGCAAAAACCCCTGCTGTTTCTTACACACTCCTGTTTTAATGTTACTGTGCCAGTGAACTTCCAAAATAGCAAGGAAGCCTTATTGTGCCATTAGCAGCAAACAATTGAGAAAACATTATAAAATATGATGGAGTACCTCCTCAGAAGGCCAATCATCCAAGCATCCATTGACTTGACCTCTTCTAGGCGACCATATCAATCCTTCTATCATACCAGAAACCTTTTCTATGTTATCACCCAAGCTAGCTAGTTCTCTCCATCCCCTCTGCCCACACATCATCTCATCCATTCTGCATCAAGAGTTCAGTTGGGGCACATAAAACTCGTCATTACATGGGTTCCAAAGGATTAGAATTTCAAGTCAACTATGACAAAAACCAGTAACAGTCACCTTACAAACTGACCAAAACAATTGCATACTATTGTATTCATCATCATCATGGTGGAAATGATTTGATATGGGTAAAATTTGTTCGCTCTTTGATAAAAATGATAAACTGATAACATATGAATGATCACCATTGTCAAATTAAGCCATTATATCAAAGAGCAACTCAAATAAGCATTGGTACCAAAACAGTTGGGCTTGGTTATACAAGGGATTCTTTTCCTCCATTCTATTTCCTAATGAGCCAAGCCTTCTATAACATACTGTAATGATGAAGTAAGAAATCATACCAAAGAAAGTACTAACATATACATACAGTCCAAATATGAGTCCAGGCCATTGGATCTGATAATGTGCTACTCAAAGGCACAACCAAAAATTAGCAAGGGAATAGTTATGTATATCCATTTGTTAAACAAAGTACAGAGAAAACAGGTGTAACAACCTGAGGAAAGCTTTCTGTAAAGAAGTGCCTATATCACCAGACAGATAACTTTCCTGCCTGAGCACTTGCTCGTGAAGATATCTAGCACAGAATTTAGCCACTGCTTGACCTGCAAAACAATAGATGCATTTTAAGAACCTAGGAAATGATTACTAGCGTTGCATCACACTACCATGATAATCATCACCATCACCAATAACTAAAATGATGAACCTTGCTCAACATGAAGGGTAAGTTGATGCATGCTTGCGAAGCCACCAGCACGAGGATAATTGATTAAAAATGGACTCTGATGCTACCATTAGTTCCATCTTACCATCATCCATCTTATCTGATTCTTCTAAAGATTTTGAGTATGTTATAAATGTATCTTTACTCTTCAAATTATTTATTGAAAGCAGAAAACCCAGCAATTTACCTCTCGAATCATTCTTTGAAATTTTAAAACAAATTTTGATTTCAATTGATCCACCAACCCCTAATCCCCTTCAATACATTCAAAGTATCAATCTTTGTTCATAAAGCCCTAGCTCACCACTTAGAGCTCATTTGGTGGTATTATGGTAGCAGTTACTTTTCAAAGTACTTTTCACTTGGAAATACATTGAAATAAATTTTTTTTTTTAAATTCATTTTTGACATCAGCACAACAAAACAATTTGAAAACACAGGAAAAAAAATAATTTGAAGCAAAGAAAAAAATAAAATAAAAAATTCAATTTATTTCAAAAGCACTTTTGAAATACAAAAACAAACAGACTTTTAAGCATGGATCATTCAAATCATAGATAGTTTCTCCAACCAACCCCCTTTAAGAAATAAGAAAAAGAAATGCTAATATCTAATTCAACATCTACTATTTTTTAATGTCAAGTAAACAACTGTTGTAAAAATAATTGCAAAACTATTACAAAATATTAGCATTGGGAAAAGGAGATGACATATTATAAAATATTAGCTGCTGGAAAAACGAATAAAACCATAAGGTTTTTACAAGATAGTGACAGATAATAGAAAATAAATATTAATAAACATAAAATAAGCATTCAGGTAAATTCTGACCTCCATGACCGTCATAAACACCAAAGAAAGATGTGGAAATGTCCAAATCTGGATAAGCTGCATGCTGTCAAACACCTTATATAAGTTTGGATGCAACTAGGAGCACACCAAAACATCAAGAAAATATAAGTTAACCAAATTGGACAAAAATTATTCTATGAAGCTGAATACATGCTTGAAAGGATCCATACTAATCCCCAAAGTTATGATATATAAGATGCGGATCTAATCACCAATCTCTTAGCTATATTCTTTGGAATCAAGAACCCTATCTCCATTGTTTCATAATTTCATCTAAGGAATGCTCATGCTGCCAATATGTATCTGTGACTCTGTCCACTCTATTTGACTGAATAAGTTCAGGTGCCATTTATTTGTCAACGACTCATAATTTTGTTGAATATCCATTTTCATGTGTTGTAGACAGCATTCCCCACAAATGCATTCCCTGTCATGTACTTTTTAAATAAGAGGGCCAAGCACTTCCTTCTGCAATGTCACATTTTCCAGTTGTATTGTCACACAAATTCAACATGTGTTGCCTTTCTACTTCACGACTGAACTCTCTCGAAATTCATACCAGTGTTTTCCAGTCTTAACACACTAAACATCAATAGAAAACTCAATAATTCACCGTGAATCATCTTTAATGAATCAGGCAAGTTCTAGACTTCACTGCGTTCACAAAATTTTGTAGTTCAATTCGCACTTAAAATTGTGGCTATTTATGGGCAGACCACAGGGCATAGAAACATTAAATTCAATACCTTTCCTCTGGGTTAATTCCACATGACCAAACAGCAATGACAATACCAAAGTTAATCACTTTTAACATCAACATATAACCTAAACATTGAATTTTCTTTCACAAAGGTACCACACAAATCATAAAGAGTACTCACGGCATCTTCCATGGTTGTACGCCAGCCTTGCATGGAGGACAAACCATATCGAAGTCTATCATTCTCACCATCTTGCGAAGCCTTGTCAGTTTTAGGGGAGCTCAAATATACCCCCATTTCTTGCTGAGAACAAAATCAAAAGCAATTAATCATAAAAAACCAACCATTTTTCTTGCATTCAAACCATCCATAACGCCTAAGCAAATCCCCACATATTCAACTATGTCAACCCGAGCGACCCACAGATACCCCACCTCTCATAAACACTCGTACGTGGATAAATACGTATAAATACACACAACAGTACCCAGATAGAATCTCAGCGACCCACAGATACCCCACCGCTCATAAACACTCGTACGTAGATAAATACGTATAAATACACACAACAATACCCAGATAGAATCTAAAATCATGATATACTCGCAGGAAAACAGTTCCCGTAAAGTGACATACTTTACAGTTTCTTTTCCTTGTTTCCCTACATTTTCTTGGGAACCAAACAGGTTGAACAAAAAGAAACAGATAATTAACGAATACCTGGAAGAATTTGACAAGATGGAATGGCAGAGAAACAGAGTGAAAATGGAAGAAACAATCATAAAAGGCTTCGTTTTGTTATGTGATGATTGATGCTCGCCTATGAGCTCTTATTACAGACAGATCAGGGAGGTACGGAATGCCTGGTTTATGGTTTTTTTTTTTGTGCTTCACTGGATCGCTGGCACGCGCCTTTAAATTGTCTCGTGGAGATAGTTGAAACCCGCGTCCTACTAGTGCATTCTTCAAAGTAAAAATATTTTTTATTTAAAAATATATTAATTTTTTTTTTAATTTTTACAAGTTATTTTTAATATTAACATATTAAAATAATTTTAAAATATCAAAAAATATTAATTAAAAATTAATTAAAAAATTAATTTTTTTAAATACTTTTAAAACATAAAAATAAACAATATCTTAATCATTGCTTCAAACCTTATCCCATCATAAATAAGAAAGGATTATGCTTGGTTTTACAATTAAAATCTCAAATTATTATTCTATAAATGGTTTAAATCTAGTAAATATAAATATTTATTTTAGCTAAAATATGAGCACTTGTATAATAACTAAAATATCAGTTATAATTTTTATTTTTCTTTTAGTATAGCTAATTTCTTATTTAAAAAATCATAAAATCGTATTACTTCTATTTTGATTTTATTTTTAATTCATCAATATATTTTTAATTATGATTTCATCAATTTTATATAGAGTTAGTGATTAAAACAAATTAAATGGATCAACATTAGTTAATTTGGTTTAAAATTAGTATGCATTTAACCCTAAACGTGAAAGGATATTAAGTTTAATGGGTCAACTTATCATGGATGTGAAAGTTTTTTTTAATTAAAAAAATCAATTACTTAAGATAAACACTACATACATGTACCTAAATTGTGAACATCTCAAGAATTTATACATGACAAATAACTAAACACAAGTGTGTGTGATTGACCTTCTAATAATATAAAAAAGTTAATGAAGATTTATCATATTAAAATAATTAAAGAGAATATTTTGCTGTATTTTTCTATAGCATTCGGTACATCTACATGCAATGATGCCTCTCCTAAAATTTATTTAGTATCCACCGTCGCCTTCATGCACAACATTAACCAGGCAAAATAATAATAATAATAATAATATTTTTCAAGGAGTACGGATTCCAAAATCAATACTTGCCCTTGATTTCTTTGGGCTTTTTCTGTGTGCCAAAGCCCGTGCAGGTGGGCTTGCCCAGAAGACAGAGGGATCCTCTCGAGCCTCAGCTCTGTGGCGTGGGGGCCCATGTGTAGTCTATTTTCATAGATATAGTTTCCGCTCGTAGCTATCAACTTTAGGGTCGTACTCTTTTGGATTTGATGGTGCTTCTGGCTTTGTTCGGTTGAATACCAACCACGCATGCTTTGTGTCATTGTACGTTAAAATTAGAGGGACAATTATTATAAATCACTTTAATAATCCTATCCACTGAATTCTAAAGTGGTTTTATCTTTGTGGGTTGTCCACTACTAGTTGAAACCATATTTTTAAACCCGAATATGTGGAGGACAGAAGAGTTAAACCGGATTATCCGATTTAATCTATTTTTTAAAAATAAAAGCATAAAAAAATCTTGATTAAATATAGCATTTTCAAAGTCAAATACATAGGCACGCACCTCAAGAAGCTTTTCTGTCAAAAGCTTACACAAGCCCCTGTTTTCAAGTAACTTTCCTGTCAAAAACTTGTCTTTTTCTCAAGGAGTTTTCTTTGTAGTTTGGCACTTGAAAAAATGAATAAAATAATATAATATAGATAATATTTGTTATTTTTATTTTTATTTTTTAGAGTGCTAAAGTACAAAATTACTTGTTTTCCTTGAGTTAATTTCCGTCGCAACGTTACTTCTTCTGTTTTACAGGTAATTTTGAATCTTTCACCTACCTTTTTAACTCTTGGATACGTTGATTTTTCTCTTTTTTCTTGACGTGGTATTTTTCTGTTCTTCGTGTTGATTCCTCTCCAAAAGAGATGAACAACATTGAATTGGTATTTGATTTGATCTGGGCAATATGGAAACCAGCTTTAGCTTCTTCTTTTTTGACAGCCCTTTTCGTTTAATTCGCTGATCTCCTCATCATCCAAGGAGTTGTGGCAGTTGTCGTTGGTGGTAGGGTTATAGCTAGTGGATTGTCTGAGAGGAACTGTAGTAGTGGCAACAAATTTGTGATTTCGAGAAGAATTAATAGTTGTTCAATTTCGAGAGAAATTGTTCGACTTAGACTCCCTGCTCTTATGATTCAAAGATAGAAATTTTACTGTCTTCTTGAGCCCCAATTCATTTTTTGTGTTTTTGTTTGAATAAGCCCAAGAGGTGTCATCAACGCAACCCGGTCCTAGTCATGACTTAGCCAAGTTAGACCACGAGGCATCTGTAATGAGCTCTGGTCCGACCAAGTCATACAAGTCCAGCTCCTTCTGCCATGACTGAGCAAGCTTCTTTCGTCAAGATTCCGTGTTTCACCAACCCTGTTGTAGGACCCACCAGCTCGAAACTGATAGATTCGGAGTTTTCTTGTAGCTCTGAAACAGTCGCCAGTATTTACCTGTTGAATGGGCCCTCTGCAGGCGACACCATTGTTGGTGTTTGGCAAGTAAAGAGTTACTTGGTGGCCTGATCAGGTCCTCATTTGCAGCGGGTCACCGTCTCACCAACTTCCTACAGTGACCTCTATCTCTATCTGTTGCATGAATTATTGAAGTTTGAATTGGGGGGGTGGTTATTGTTTTTTATCGTCTCATTTTAGTAAAGTTTACCTTTTTAAATGAAATTTATAGTGATATTCAAATTCTTTACTATTTAAGTATAATCATATGGCAAATAAAAAAACCAAGAACAAGAAGTGAAGTAGCATAATCAACAATCTGGACTGGAGAAACAATGATACATATTATATTCTTGAGAATTTGAGAGATTCTCTGCACCAGCAAGCCAGTTTTTTGGACTGTTTCGGCCCCCGAAGAAAATGATCAGCCTAATTCGGGTATTAACCATTGTCTGGGAGTCGGTAGATCTGTTTTTTACGTGTTTTGAAATGCATTTTTATATAAAAAATACTAAATTAATTTTATTCGATGATTTTAATATATTAATATTAAAAAAATCATTTCAATGACTTTTAAAATAAAAAATATTTTAATAAACACCCTCTATAAATGCCCGTGATCTTCAACGTGGGGGGCAAATTAATGAAGCTACGGGAGCGTTAAAACTTGTTGCCGCCGCTTAATCAGGTGGCTGATGTCTCTTGCAGAGTCAAACACCACACTGCTCGCTCCTTGAAATATTTGATTAAAGTCACCTCCACCTTGTAAAATCAAACAACAACAATTTCGGCTTTCAATCACCATTTCTTCTTTGTTTTTCCCGAATACTTGCGCGTTGAAATTAAAAGCTTCTGCGTCTGAGTAGCTGCTAACCACACCGGGCACGGCCCTTGCCACAGAATCAAGGCAAGAATCGTGGTTGGGTATTTAATACTTTGAGATGATTAAGAACTCTTTGATTTCTGAAGTAGATCGATCATGCTGGCCATGTGGATCATCACAATTGTGCATTCAATTTTCCCCTTTTCTGGGTGAATAGTGCTGTCCTTTCATCCATAATTAAGCCCGCCAGACAAATCGGTTCAGCTTTGAGTCGGTTTAATTCGTAGTAAGAGTAATCGGCCCAGTTCTTTTAAATGCGCAAAAAAATGTTCAAATTATTGGAAATTATTTAACATTGTTAATTAAAAAAAAAAGAGGAGAGGAGAGGAGAGGATGAAAAGAAAGAAAGAAGGCCATCTTTTTCAATGTTCGTATAAAAAATAAATAAATAAATTCTTTGGTTAAATATGTTTCATGGACTCTAATTTATTTGGTTAAAGTTCCGTTGATTCTATGATGAGACGGCCACTTTCACCGTGCGGTCTAAGATTGAACGGTGTTCTCGATAAAGAGAATAAAATCAATCCCTGTTCTTTATTGAAACATATCTTCTTCTTCTTCTTCTTCTTTTTTAATTTTTATTTTTTACAAATAAACCATGCGCATTCTGATTTTGTGGCCATGGGTCGGTGGAGTTGTTATTTGCGAAAATCAGATCCTTTCTCGATTCATCTCACCAGTAAACTGTTTGTTTACGTGTTTTAAAAATATTTTAATTATTTTAATATTATGATGTTAAAAATTATTTTTAAAAAATAAAAAAATATTAATATATATTTTAAAACAAAAAATTATTTAAAAAATATCACAACCATACCTATAAATAAAAAAAACTTTTACTTTTTAGGTTCTCCACTTTAATTGAAGAGATGATTTCTTCACTTTAATTATTTGCATCTTGAAGATGTCGTACTACTTTACTGGTTTGAAATTTGTATTTCAACATGGATATAATTGTTTAGATTGCGGCCACTTATATTTTTGAGATTTTTTTTAGTTTTAAATTATTTCTATGTTTTTATTATTTTAATATACTAATTTTAAAAATAAAATTTTAAAAATAAAAAATATTATTTTAACATATTTTTAAATAATTTTTTTAAAAAATATTAACAGCGCTTGAAAAAAACATGAAATGATATCCAAGGACGGATGAAAAATGCTATTTGATCTGAGTCATGTGCCCATTAAATACTAGAAGAAGTTGCTATTTTCTTTAATTTTATTTTTATGATATAATTTAATTAGTTAGATTTTAAATTTATATTTTTATAATTATGAATTTGAATTTTTTCAAAGTTATTGACGATTTATATAATTATTAATTTTAAAATATATTAAATTGATCAAAATATAAATAAATTAGTCTGAATAATAATAATAATAATAATAATAATAACAATAATAATAAAAGTTGCTCTCTTCTGTTAAAAAAACATATACACCAAGTGCTACCTGCATATCTATGATGTTGCTAAAGTAATTCTGACTCACGGAAGGACAGATAAATTTTATAAAATTCGCTAGTGATTTATTTCTTTTTTTTAAAAAAAAAGAAACTTGAAATTAAATTAAATTTTGATTAAGTTATGAATTTACTTCTTGAGTGGATTAAATCTAATCGGATAAATTTTAATCTATTTTTTTTGTAAAAAAAATTATAACCCGGGCTCCGTTACAGGGTTAATTAATGAACTTTTCCTTGATTATTACTTGAACAAGCCCTTTTAATACATTTTTCATAAGAATTCTTATGGCGCATTGAGAGCCTCGCTGTCTCTTTTCAACAGCGACTCGAAGTTTTGAACCTGTTTTTTCCCCCATCTCCCACCTCGCATGAAGCCCAGATGTCTATTCTCTAATAATTTGCTTGCGCTATGAATTCTCACCAGCTTGATCTGCTTCCAAAAATACCAAACAGTTTTCTTAGCTAATAAAGATAAAGTTGGTGATGCTTTGGTTAACGTGGGAGTGATGAAAAGTCAATGTCATGAGGCGGGGGTTGGTGAGCACCAATAAAAAACTGTAAAAACAAAATTGCTCCTCACAGATTCACTATAAGTTGTCCCTCCATCATCCTTCGAGGCAGGTGGCAGCTCCATTGACCTTTGTTCACCCTCTCTCGAACCCTCCTTTTGTCTCCGATATTCTCTCTAATTCTCTGCTCTAGAGACTCTCTGGCTCACAGGTATGCTACATCTTCATGTGTTTGTTCTTGATTTAATTCTTGCGTCCTTTCTTTCTCTTCTTTGGGTTTTTAAGCTAACAAGGTCGTTTAAAACCGAAGTTAGACTAATAAACGCATGAATTAAAGGGTTGATTTTTATGTTTCTGGGAAAGATATGGATGCATTGATTTTGTGTTTTAAGTGATAGTGATAAAGATGCATCCAGTTCCTTTTCTTTTGGTTCAGAAGTTATGGTTGATGGAGTCATTTTCAGATTGTAAGATTTAAGAGGGAAAAAGGAAGGCTTTTGCTTTTTTTGGTGTTTCACATCGGTTCTACAACAGAAAGATTTCATTTTTCACTATTTATTAATGCCAGCCACTGCATTTAAATGTGCAACCACCAAGAACTGTTTGGCACATAAACAGGCTGGGGCTGGAAAGGGCAACGATCACAATTTAAAGGATATCCATTATCAATTTGTGACAATTTGTCTTTGAAACTGCAGAGAACTTGGGGTGGAAGTGGGATAGAATCGATAAATAGAGCATTAGCACGGGGAAAGATGATAATCAATGTGAAAGAATCAACCATGGTGCAGCCGGCAGAGGAGACGCCCCGGAGGAGGCTGTGGAATTCTAATGTGGACCTGGTGGTACCAAGATTCCACACCCCGAGTGTCTACTTTTATAGGCCCACAGGTGCCTCAAACTTCTTTGATGCAAAAGTGCTCAAAGAGGCTTTGAGTAAGGCCCTTGTACCATTCTACCCTATGGCAGGGCGGTTACGTAGAGATGATGATGGCCGCATCGAGATCGATTGCAATGCTGAGGGAGTGTTGTTTGTTGAAGCTGAGACCGCCTCAGTTGTTGCTGATTTTGGTGATTTTGCACCCACTTTAGAGCTCAAGCAGCTTATTCCAACTGTGGATTACTCTGGCGGGATATCTACTTATCCTCTTTTGGTTTTGCAGGTATGTTTCTTCCATTTTTATTTTCATCTAATACGGGAGTTATTTATTTTTGATCCATTGAGCCAGCACACAAGTGATTCAATTATGTGATTTATCTTTCGATTTTGAACATGTTGCATGAATTATGGTGTAAGTGTGCCTCTTGAAATCCTCCTCTTCAAGGCCTGATTTCTTAAGAAGCCATAAATATATCCTTCTAAGCTGCATAAGCGAGTCAATTCAACTGTTGTTTCAACTGATGAGTTTCCATTGTGGTTGGATGGGATAATCTTCATGTACGAAAGATCTGCTATGAACATAAAATCTCTCATGTCACCTAGAGGCTCTTACTTTTTCTGGGCCAGAAATGAAAATGCTAGGTCAAGCTGTCCTGGAGTGTTTTGTAAGCGCGTATCTACTCTAGAATTTATGATTTGGATGTTACATGGCATCAAAATTTGATTTGGAACCTTATCAGTAGAAGCAACAACTCTGGTTTTTTCATTCACTGGCAGGTCTTATGTAACATAATTCACCCAAAGTTTGAGATGAATTGTAATGCACACAAGTCTCATCACCTAATTCATGAATTTATTAGAGAAAATGCAGTTTAACCTCCTAGTTTGACAAAATCACATTAAACAAACTCAAGTAGCATAAGCTTCCTTTTTTCATATCTATAGGGGAAGACCGTACCCATCTTATTACATTTGAAAGTATACTGAACATCCCAGTAGTGTTGTTTCCATAACAATAAAAACAGTAACCAGTAAACACCCTGAAATTTTGATGTCAAGAAGTCTTCGCAACAAGATTTGAAGATAGCATAAAGTAAGTTTGTTTAGTCAGTTTTCGGTTTATAAAACAAGAGAAGTGGTTAGCATTTTACCTCAAACTTCACAGATAATCAAGTTAATTTAATCCATCTAAAGCTTAAGGGCACCGTGTAACTGTTTAAATCACTTTTCAGATTGATAATTTACATGAGGTTTGGTTTCATGTCGAGAAAAAGAAAAGGAAGAGGTCTAGTTTAGTTTTGAATTTGTATTGTTGAGATCATTTCCACACTGGCTGTCCCAACTTGATGGGTGGGTGCTCGATAGATGACTTTAGAGAAATTAATGGGTAGCTAACAACCTTTTGTTATCCTACTACAAGTTTTGAAGTTGCCCCATAAGGATTGGATGTGACCATGATTCACATAAATTCAACAAACAGAGTATATTGCACATGGAATCGTTAGTTGTGATAGTAGGGACAGAGTACTGCAGTAATGTAGACTACAATACATTTACTTGATAGCATTTACTGCATCTGCACATTTCATTGGTGGGAACTTTAAAAGTTATTACAACATGACCCAAATTCACTTGAGCATCGATTCAATGGTATTGTAATCGTTCACATCATCATTTGAGGATACATTTAAGCTCTTACGATGACAAATAGTTTGCTGCTAAATTGTGTAAAATACATTTAAAACTCAACCAAGGATTTAAAGTGAGGTAGTTAAGAATATTTCCACTTAAGAGAGCTGGTAACTCTGACATTGGTTTTTTTCTTTGTGTTGAATTTATTGACTTGGTATATAGAAATTTGGTTTGCCTTTGTTAGGTCATGCTCATCTGTCTCAAATGGTTTGTGTACTTCAATTTTTTATGTGCACTCTGTTTCCATGGCTTTCGGAAATAATTTTTATCAAACTTTGATGAATTCACCTTATCATAGTATTTGCTAGTTGAGCATGATAAATGAAGTAGACCTGGTTTTCTTTTTTTTTTTTTGGTGACTGGCAAGTGGTAATGAGTGAGTAGTAGAGCCACCCATGAAAACAGGCTGCCAACTTACTGCATGTTCACAGATTAGCAAGAAAATTCAACTTCTAGATGGCATGGATACTTCTCAAGCTCCTGAATACACTCAAGATATTTTTCTGTTGATTGCAGTTGCATTTTTCTTTACTGGAATAAAGAACTCTGCTTGAAATAATAATCTCCTGGTTTTAGTCCGGTACTTAATTAGCCAAGTCTATCTATCACTTAAATCCAATTTGTTTTAATGCTACTGTGAGCGCACAATAAGCAAGCTTTTGATTTGATTCTCCCCAGGTGACCCATTTCAAATGTGGAGGAGTTTCACTTGGTGTTGGTATGCAACACCATGCAGCGGATGGGTTTTCTGGTCTCCACTTTGTGAATACATGGTCAGATATGGCTCGTGGTCTTGACCTTACAATTCCACCCTTCATTGATAGGACCCTTCTCCGTGCCCGAGACCCACCCCAACCTGCATTCCACCACGTTGAGTACCAGCCTCCTCCTGCCATGAAAGCTGTTCCTGAAACCTCAAAACCAGAGAGCACAGCGGTCTCCATTTTTAAGTTGACCAGGGATCAGCTCAACACCCTCAAAGCCAAAGCAAAGGAAGGTGGAAACAATATTGGTTATAGTTCATATGAAATGTTGGCGGGTCATGTATGGAGATCAGCATGTCAGGCGCGGGGACTTCCTGATGATCAAGAAACCAAGTTATATATTGCTACAGATGGTCGGTCAAGACTGCGCCCTACGCTTCCACCTGGTTACTTTGGCAATGTAATCTTTACAGCAACACCAATTGCAGTTGCAGGTGAAATTCAATCAAAGCCAACATGGTATGCTGCAGGAAAAATTCATGATTCATTGGTTCGCATGGACAATGATTATCTAAGGTCAGCCCTTGATTTCCTAGAGCTTCAGCCTGATTTATCAGCCCTTGTTCGCGGCGCCCATACTTTCCGGTGCCCAAATCTTGGGATTACTAGCTGGGTTAGGCTGCCAATCCATGATGCAGATTTTGGCTGGGGAAGACCTATATTTATGGGGCCTGGTGGGATAGCATACGAGGGCTTATCATTCATCATACCAAGCTCAACAAATGACGGAAGCATGTCAGTAGCCATATCTTTGCAAGCTGAACACATGAAACTATTTGAGAAGTTTATGTATGACATTTAACAGAATGAGCCGAGGCTATTATCCTGTCATGGTTTCTGTCCTCCCATCAGTAAATCAGGCTGGGAAATTTCAGGCATGCCAAGTTTTTTCTCTCTTGATGCCCGTGTATCTGTCATAGAGGGTTTTTCTCTTCTCTTCTTTTCTTTTCGGACATGGTTTGATGCAAGGAAGACTATTTGAAAGGATGATGCGCCCCTTACGAGGGCTTATGTTGTACATATTTATGTATTTGGCTCGAACTACGAAGTATAGGATGGAAGGAATAAATACGACACAGAATATCATGTTTAGATTGGTGGAGATGGAGACAACAAAATCCAAAGTATTTCTTCTTCTCTTTGAGATGACATGCTGACCAAAGACCAAACCAAGAAGTTTAATGATTTTTTCACCTTGTTTTTCACAGAACAATTTGGTGTTGTCTGAATATCTTTTACCACTAGATTTGTTCAAAAAAAAAAAAGAGTAAAAAAATATAAATTTAAAAATCATGAATAATCAGAAAGAAAAAAGAGAGAGGGGAGGAATAGAAAAGAGAGGAATGTCGAAAATTAAGTTAAATTTTATCTTTGATAACTAAAGATTCTCGTCGTGATTAATTCAAGCATACCATGATTATTTGAATTTTATATCTATATCTAAAATCTTTACATTAGAATTTTGTATTGATTTTATTTATTTATTAATAATATTTGGGCTTAGATTTGTATTTAAGGAGTTTATTAGATTTTTTTAGTTGTGTATTTTAGTGAGAAAAAAAATTAAACAAATGAAGTTTTTTGATATTTTTTACCACTAGATTTGTCTCAACAAAAAAAAGTAAAAAATATGAATTTTAAAAATCATGAATAATCAGAAAAACAAAAAGAGGAGAGGGAGAGAAAATACAAGAATGTCAAAATATCAGATTTAATTAATTCATAGATACTTAAATTAAACATATTATTTTTGGAAGAGGAATACATGATGATTTGAATTTCATATCTAAAAACATTACATTTGAATTTTGTATTGATATTTTTATTTATTATTGATATTTGAGCTTAGTTGTATTTAGAAAGTTTATTAGATTTTTTTAGATATGTATTTTAGTGAAAAATATAAAAAATAAAGTTTTTTAAAGTATGAGTGACATGCCATCTTTATATATATATATAAATATCGCTGGGTTTAGACTAGACTCAAGTGTGGTGGGTTTTTTCAGAAATGCTTAAACTTAGCTTCAAGCCTAATAATTTTTATATTTTATATTTTCTTATAATAGTTTTGTACATCAAGTTTGTTAATTTTTATTTACCTTATAAAAAATATATAATAAAAAATATATATTTTTATGTTTTTTATTTGATTTTTTTACGAATTAATACTTGCTTTTTTTTAGTCTTTTACTTTGTATTTGTATAATACTATTTTATTAAAACAATAATGAAGAAGATAATTCAATAAAAACAAATTTATAATAAATTTATAGATAGGATGTATTGGAGATGATGTATTTTTTTCTTACATAACTAATTCCTTACTTAAATTTTTATAAATTATAGATTCTTAATGATTATGATATTAAGTGTTGATTATAAATCTTAATTATAATTTTATAATTAAATTTTAAAAATATTTTTAATATATTATACCTCTACAAGAGGTACGACAAAAGCTTTTACTATCACTAAATAACGTCGAGGTCCCCACGACAAAGTTGATAAGAGTTGAGCGTAGCAACACGTCGATAAGAAAATGATGCACAAGTTTTCAACTACTAAATTATAATTGATTTTAAATAATATATATTGATCCATTAACTGGGAAGTAAAGATCATTGCGAGTGCTGTATTTGCAGATTGTTTGACTTCTTATGCTCTAGCTTAACGAAGAATGACCATGGTGTAAAGAAGGTAATAGTCTTGCATTCATTTTTACCTCCACGCTCCCTGCATTTTACCTCTCGACCAACCGCTACCATAAAGGCTCTCTTGAGATTTGAGATGATAATAATCTAGTGAAAATAACATTGTGAAATACAAATCTCGGACCGTCATCGATAAAGAGAACACTTGCTTGTTCGTCAATGGAGGAGGCTTGTTTTCTTTCACTGTACCTGAGTTTAAGTTCTAACGTGCATGTCTGTCACCCCCGCGGTGCCTTACATGCCTACTGGGTTTGTAGGATATTCAGTGGGCTGTGGAGATTAGTCATGGTGCGCGCAAGCTGGCCCAGACACTCCACGCAAATAAATAAATAAATAAAAAAATTCAACCCCAATTTTAAATTACATTTGGGAACGACATGTAACTCATGTTTTTAAAGATTAAAGATTTTGAATTTTGAATTTTAAATTTTAAATAATTTTTTATGTTTTAAAATTGTTTTAATGTGTTAATATCAAAAATAATTTTTTAAAATTAAATTTTTTTTATTTTAATATATTTTTAAACCTAAAATATTTTAAATTATTAACACTATTATAATCACAGACAGCTGTAATATTTGGATTTTAAAATAGTAGCTTTAGGAGCATCGCTTTGGATGCAAGTTTTTGTTCCCAACAAAATTCATTCACCTTTTTAAGTTATCTCTCCGTCCCAGACAATAATATCTCTCGTAGCTTACCCTCTTCCACTCTCCTCTCGGAATTTCTCCATTACCTCCCTTCAACAGCACATATCAACTCAAACTTGAAGCCAACAAGAAAGATCTCTAAAAACCCGAGAAAACAAACACTTTCTTGTTTTTTTCTTGTTTTTTTTTCATGGCCAAGTCTTTCTTTGGAGACTCTAGTCGCTGAAGGTGAGTACACATGGAAAGAAAGGCCATTGGAATTGATCTTGGCACAAGCTACAGTTGTGTAGGCGTGTGGCAGAATGATCGTGTAGAGATCATAGCCAATGACCAAGGGAATAGAACGACTCCATCTTATGTTGCCTTCACTGATACTGAACGTTTGATAGGTGATGCAGCCAAGAACCAAGCTGCCATGAATCCTCGAAACACTGTTTTTGACGCGAAAAGACTTATTGGCAGGGGTTTCCACGCCCCTTCTGTTCAGCGTGACATGAAGCTGTGGCCTTTTAAGGTGATTCCAGGTCCTGGTTGTAAGCCTATGATTGTTGTTAAGCATAAAGGTGTAGAGAAGCAGTTTTCCGCAGAGGAGATATCTTCTATGGTTTTGATGAAAATGAAGGAGATTGCTGAGGCTTATCTGGGTCATTCTGTAAAGAATGCTGTGGTGACTGTGCCTGCTTGTTTTAATGACTTGCAAAGGCAGGCTACGAAGGATGCTGGTGCTATTTCTGGGCTCAATGTTTTGAGGATTATCAATGAGCCTACTGCAGCTGCTATTGCTTATGGTTTGGATAAAAAGGAGTCTCGAAGCGGCGAGCAGAATGTGCTTATTTTCGATCTTGGTGGTGGAACTTTTGATGTTTCTCTGTTGACGATCGAGGAGGGGATTTTTGAAGTGAAGGCTACTGCTGGTGATACTCATCTTGGAGGTGAGGACTTCGATAACAGGCTTGTTAATCATTTTTTGGCGGAGTTCAAGAGGAAGCACAAAAAAGATATTAGTGGTAATCCAAGAGCTTTGAGAAGGTTGAGGACTTCCTGTGAGAGGGCGAAGAGGACTTTGTCTTCGACTACACAGACGACGATTGAGATTGATTCTCTGTTTGAAGGCATTGATTTCTACACTAAAATTACAAGAGCGAGGTTTGAAGAATTGAACACGGATTTGTTTAGGAAGTGCACGGAACGTGTGGAGAAATGTCTTCGTGATTCAAAGATCGAAAAGAGTCATGTTCATGAGGTTGTTCTTGTTGGTGGTTCAACAAGAGTTCTCAGAGTGCAGCAACTCTTGCAAGACTTCTTCAATGGCAAGGAACTTTGCAAGAGCATCAATCCTGATGAAGCTGTTGCTTATGGTGCTGCTGTCCAAGCTGCAATTTTGAGTGGTGACGGGAATGAGAAGGTTCAAGATTTGCTTGTTCTTGATGTTACTCCTCTAAGCCTTGGGATTAAGACTGCTGGTGATATAAAGACAGTTTTGATTCCAAGAAACACAAAGATTCCCGCCAAGAAGGAGCTAATCTTTTCTACATGTTCTGATAATCAGCCAAGAGTGCTTATTCAGGTTTATAAACGTCAAGGTGCTAGAACCGAATACAATGATCTTCTTGGTAAACTCGAGTTCACAGGCATTCCTCCAGCCCCAAAAGGAGTCCCTCAGATCAATGTATGTTTCGATATTGATGCTAATGGAATTCTGAATGTTTCTGCGGAGGATAGGACTGCAGGAGTGAAGAACAAGATCACCATCACTAATTTCAAGGGAAGATTGAGCAAAGATGAGATTGAGAGAATGGTGCAGGAAGCAGAGAAGTACAAGGCAGAGGATGGGGAGGTTAAGAAGAAGGTGGATGCCAAGAACTCATTGGAGAATTATGTTTACAATATGAGAAATACAGTGACGGATGAGAAGTTTGCAGAGAAATTGAATCCAGCTGGCATGCAGAAGATTGAGAAAGCAATTGATGAGACTATTAAGTGGTTGGAAAGGAACCAATTGGCAGAGGTGGATGAATTTGCAGACAAACAGGAGGAGTTAGAGGGCTTGTGCAATCCAATTATTGCAAAGATGTATCAAGGCGCTGCTTCAGACGTGTCAATGGGTGGTGGTGCTGAGATGCCAAATGGTGGTTATGGCAAGCCTAGCTCCGGAGGTTCTGGTGCTGGACCGAATATTGAGGAAGTTGATTGAGGCATGAACTTGGGCAAGTAGGGTGTTCTGTTTTGCCTCTCTGCCCTTCTACTCTGTTTGGGCTTGTCACGTTTGACAGAATTCCTATGCAATGTAAAGTTTTAGTTGAGGCTTGAGGGATTCACATGTATGGAAATCTATATCAATACTTACGTAAAAGATATCCAGTTTGATTTTAGTGAATAAAAAATCTTGAATTTCTTTTCTTTCTTTCTTTGATTTCTTTGTTGGGTTTTGATGTTAGAACTTAGCTTGGACTACCATATCATCCCAAATCTCCTGCAACTTCCATTTGACTAGCAAGAAACTATTGCTTCTTAGGATTTGGTAGATTGAGAAAATTACACTAGTCTTGTATCTTATATCTTCATTCTCGCGAATAACTTAGGAAGCCATTCCCAAATGGGTTCTCACAGTTAGAGAGAGCTCGTAGACAGATTTCTCTGCTCTGCCCATGCAATGGTCTTTGGTGGGCATGGTTAAATGTGAAAATGGCAGCTTATATCTACGAAAATACGGCCAGGGAAAGGTCAAGTCTTGGTTCCAG